CCCCCTAACTCACTTTTCTGCCCATCTCCGCTGCTACTGCACTGAAACTGTACTTTGAACACTTAAATTATATTATTAACATTTTAAACTGTATACCCCGGTTATCTAGGCCCTTTGTTTTGTTTAATGTATACCATGTTTATCTAGGCCCTTTTTGTTTTTTGTTTGATGTATATATGTCACACTGTAGGACTGCGGGAAACGATATTTCGAGATTTCTGGATGTACAACATGTAGAATTCTTGACAATAAAGCTGACTTTGACTTTGACTTTGACTTTGAATAGATAAGCTGTTGACATGTTAACTTGACAAATTAAGTGTCATTTAGAAAACATGTTCTAATTTTATCAGATGTGTCCTGTACTAAATCAGCACATGGTTATTTTATGTTATTTTTTGTACTGAGGATAGACAGTGTGCTGTCAACAATAACCCATGGAAAAATATATTAATTCATTATTTCATCTGAAACAACTGGCCAACTAGTTGGTAAGTCAATCAAAAGAAACAAAAGTCAGAATCAATCAGAACCAAAGTACTTTATTACCCGTGTTTCATGACAACAAAACGTCAATCATCATCAAACATCCTCTGTAGGCCTATACCAGGCTCCTCATGTCCTGTCAAGTTTGGCTGTTGAAAACAAGCAGGTCACCCTTGAAAAAGAGATATTTTGATCTCAAGGGGCTCTCACCTGGTTAAATAAAGGCTACAAACAAACAAGCAGTCTGAAATTCAACTCGAGCTTCAGGAACTTGCAGTTATTCATTTTATTAACTAAACTAATTGCTTCACTTAAACAATGCAATAAGCTGCAGCACCATTTTAAATGAACATATTAAAGGTGGGGTAGGTAATTTTGGAGAAACCAGCTCGAGTGCGCCAGGATTTGAAAATACACATGTGTTTCTCAATCGCAAGTACGCTTGCTTGGTAGCACATGTCTGCCGAGCATCTTGCTTCAGAAGCGAGTCAAGAATACTTCCTGACATTTGGAAAACAAAGAGTGGAACGGGCTACCAAGTGTGCAGGTGTGCGTCATATGAGAGGCCCCGCCTTACATTTTCCGCCACAGATTTTGGAAATTGGTCCGTGCGCAAAGCATTGTGGGGATTTTAAGATCGCAGAGTCTACTCATGTGCAGCCTCGATATTTCTCCAAACGGAGTACGCCGGGCTCGGTAGATTTCCAAGTATGCTGGAGATTGGAACAGTACTTCGGCGGCACTCGATGACGTAGTATGCTTGAAATAGTGGCTCTGCAGCAGCTTTACTCGCGATTGAGAAACACCCACAGCCGGAAAAAATCTGCCACTTCCTTACAGAGCCCCTCCTCCAACCAACACACACGAACGCGCACATGACCAATGAGGGCACGAGATAAGTTTGTGCACAGATGGAAGGCTGACAGGCAGGTAGGCCATCCAATCATTTTAGCCGGGCCGGCTAAAATGATTGGTCGTGCTTTTTACAGTACTACGGCTTCCACAGATGACATTTTTGTATGGATTTTTTGTCAAAGCACTTAAAGGTAGGGTAGGTAAGTTTGAGAAACCGGCTCGAGATACACTTTTTGTTATATTCCATGGAATGCTCTTAACATCCCGATAGCAATGAATATCTTAAGTGCTTTGACAAAAAATCCATAAAAAAATGTCATCTGTGGAAGCCGTAATACTGTAAAAAGTACGACCAATCATTTTAGCCGGGCCGGCTAAAATAACTGGATGGCCTACCTGTCTGTCAGCCTTCCATCTGTGCACAAACTTATCTCGTGCCCTCATTGGTCATGTGCGCGTTCGTGTGTGTTGGAGGAGGGGCTCTGTAAGGAAGTGGCAGATTTTCTCCGGTTGTGTATTTTCAAATTCTAGCGATCTCGAGCCGGTTTCTCAAACTTACCTACCCTACCTTTAAGATATTCATTGCTATCGGTTAACAGTTTTATACATTTATACTTTCAGATTTTCCTGGAAGCCTTATGAAAAAGAAAAGCCACCTTTTCTAGAGGATTAAAATAAGAGTAAGTAAAGTGTTTATTAGTTGAGATAAGAGTCACTGATTAGCTGTGTGTGTGTGTGTGTGTGTGTGTGTGTGTGTGTGTGTGTGTGTGTGCGTGTGTGTGTGTGTGTGTGTGTGTGGGTGGTGTTAGGAATGCAGAGCCTCGTCTGTACCTGCAACAGGAGCAGGGGTGGGGCCCTGCCTATATGTGTCTGAGGGGGACATTTTACACAAAATTGTCTGTAGAGACAAGGAACAATGAAGCCAAAATGACATTAAAGCATTATTCCTAATAACTGTTTTTAAATGTTTTAGAGGATAGTCAGTAGGTTCATGTTAATGCAAGCATGGGAATACAATGCCTTACACCCTGCTGAAAAAAACAGCATAGACCAGCTTAAGATGGTTGCTGGTTTTAGCTGGTGTTAGGCTGGTTTAGTTGGTTTACCAGGCTGGACAAGGTGGCCAGGCTGGCCAGGCTGGCCAGGCTGGTCTTGAACCATGCTGGTATGCTGGGTTTTTTAGCTGGCCAGGATGGCTGGTTTAGCTGGTGTAGCTGGTGCCAGCTACACCAGCTAAACCAGCCATCCTGGCCAGCTAAAGTGTCCAAAACCCCTCTAAACCAGCCAATAATTCCAGCCTAATATCTTCTGGCTGGTCAGGCTGGTCTTTTCAGCAGGGCACTGCTTTACTTCTGCTATTGCATCTGTAAAAAACAAGTTTCATAGTAAATTATATTTACTTGTCAACAAAACACAACATGACCCAAACAAGTGCAAAATGTCTACCATGTTGTCTCTGTTCCACCAATGAGCTTTTGGTTTAATTTCCTACCATATATGGTCATAGAGAGGAACCAGAGTAAGACTCAGATCTCCAGAAAGAGCAGAGCGGTGGAGGGAGGCGTGCTCTATTGTTGTGTTTCCTCCGTGGTGTAAAGTTTCTTTTCAAACACCGTCATTACCCACAGCCCCGTCCTCCTGCTGTTTCAAATCTGTCACACATCAAAGATGAGCTGATATGGAAATGTTGCCGCAGCATGTCGCAGCATGAATGAAACTGAGCAAGGACACACACAGTGAGTGTTACAAGGTGTGTACATACACTGTGTTTTATGACTTTAGGCAATGAAATACCTCAGTATTATATACATACACAGAGCCGTCCCTCCCTACAGGCACCTATGCGCTTATGCGGCGCAATTGGTGTGGTGTCCCCAGGCCCCACTAGCACCCCGTCCGTCCGTCCGTCCGTCGACGACGCTCGCGAAACAGAGGGCCTCATCATATAACTTTGCGTGGGGCCTCCAGTTGGCCAGGGACAGCCCTGTACACACACCTATTGTCCCTTCATTCAAAGCACTGATGCAGCTCTTTGTTCCAGGGAGATATCAAAACAAACTTGTTAACATACAAGGTTTACATACCAGACAGGTACATTATACTGAAATACAACATTTTGGTTATTGAGATAATAACATCATATTTAAATTTGAACTTTGTATGAAGAGGAGGAATACTTTTGGGGGAGACACAACAGGCAACAGTGTAAACATAACAAAAACTAGTAGATACAACCATGAAACCATTTCTGTTGATTTCCTACATTATATATATATTTTTTATTACAAGTTATCTGAAACTGATTGTTTAATTATTAAAAATAAACAGTGTCTCATTAAATATGTGTGCTAATTTGCATGCTTTTCTGTAAAAACCTTCAGAATATAGATAGAAATAAAACTCAACTGAAGCTGTCTGGCTCAGAGTATTAAAGAACCCTCATTTAGTTTTTTAAACAATTAAAAGTTAGTTAATATTTTAAAAAGTCGTTGATATTCCATGCATTTGCAAGGTTAACAAGGTAAACGACATCTAGACCATGGATAATTACCTTGAAAGTTTTCTGACTTTATTTCACTTGTCAGTTTCCATATGGCTAGGTCAGTGTATATCTCAGTTAGCAAACAGTATGATTGCATTTTCTTGTGAAAAGAAAAACAAAGCGTCTATTCAGAGCTGATTGAGTCATGTCATTCTTCTTGTTGGTTCATTTCTGTTGTTACACCACCTCACATTTAAATAGCTTCCTGCAGCTCGCTCCAGGACAGGGAAACTCTCAGAGAGCCTTATTGTAAGAGATCATATTACTTTCTGCACAATAAAACACACATCAACAGTGTGAAAATATGTTTTAAGATAGTTAGAATATGCTTCTCATGTTTTGTAAGTTTACAGAGGAGTGACAGCAGAATCAGGTCATGTCATGTCATGCAGATAGTTGTGGTAGATGTCAGTCAGGGTGAAAGTGCAGAATGGGGGGTTATTTCAACGTGTTGGAGCACATCGGCCTGCGTGGGTTTGGTGGATTGAAGGAAGAATATTGTTGAGGTAAATTCAGAGACACTCACAAACCTAAACTGGCCTTCCAAATCCACTCCATCCATCACACCTGCTGCAAAATACTATAAGATGTATTAGTGACAGCAGATTTAAAAAAAGGTGTAATGGAGGGATTAGATGTTTTTCATATATGCTTTTTCTGTGACACCAACCTGAATGAGAAGGGCAGCCTGTTGTGGATGAAACTGTGAATTACAAGCTGAAGAGTGTCCACGTTTCGAGCAATTTCGAGCTGCATGTTTAGTGTTGTATATGGAATAAAACTTCAGAAAATATAAAGGTCTACAGTAAGTATGTGAAATCTATATGTTTATTTGTTACTAGGTTGGCTGCAGAGTCTGTTAAAACTGTTGTATAATTGATTATACTTATATAGTCAGTGTTCCCCCATAAAAGGCAGTTAAAAAAAAATGTGTGGTTAAAAGGCAAATTCAAATAAATCTATGTAAATAATACCATTTAATGAGATTTTAAATGAAATAACCAATTTCAGTGCGTTATCTGTCTATCTAACTATATATAAATATGTATGCCTGTCTATTTTTCTGTCCCTCTTGCTTGACAAGACAATAAAAAAAAAAGGAAAACATGACACATCGCATTTTTATGAGTTTTTATTTATTTGATTTTTAGGTGTTTTATTGTTTTTTTTTCTCCAAAAAAATCCTGAGGTATTCACAATATAATGGCATTTATTCTGTTTGAAATGAGACTGGGGGGAGGGGGGGGGATAAAATACAGCCAAAAAACAAAACGAAAAGAGAAACGGGCAGCAAAGCTGTTTCGATGATACAACTGTAAATAAATCCACGGTGTCGTACTTAAAGGAGCCTTTGAACTGCAACAGTGGAGACTGAAGTCAATCCTCCCCCCACCCTGCGAACTAGCATCATGCTATCTAGACTGCATTTAGGAAAAACCAAGCATCAAACCTCAAAGATGTTTCAAAGCAGGGAGTGCAGGTTAATAACAAGCCAATCCGTCCACTATCATAGCAGTTATCATCAGCTGGAATACCATAAACTTAAAAACACAAATCTAGTGTGCTTTGTATCTGGCATTCAGATTAAAAACCATCAACGTTTCAAACAATACAAGCTTTAACTGTGAGTTATTAGCAAAGCACTACAGTTCAAATACACCATGCTGTGGCTTCTTTAAACCAGTTTGTTTGTGCCTTCTGAGAGGGTAAACAGTAAACAAAGTCTGACAGTCACAGTAAAGCCAGAAACAGAAGCACCTCACTGTGCTGCAGGCTTCTACTTTACCTGTTACTCTAGACTGTACGTTAGTGTGATGCTTGAATACAATATTTAGCTTTTTGTACACAATGTAAAACTCCTCTACCTTGAGTCCTGTTTGCCCTCCACAAAAAAGCAATACATCAAAATAAAACAAACCAAAAAAACCATACAAATGACCAATAAATAAATATCAGTGAGAAAAATACACTGTTGAATCATTTTCTTGCTCTGTGTCACAGATCTATGATTGATAAAATAACTGCTGTGACTTAAAGAAAATAAGGAAAACACCCGATATTCTCCTGCACAACAATCCCAAATCTGCAACGCAAAACAAAAACAAAAATAAAACCCATCACAAGTGCAACATCAGTCACGAGTCTCAGCATTAGGAAAGAAAAAATAAGCTCTGGTGTTCGACCAATCAGCTCAACACTACAGCATCAAACCAGAATGAATAAAAAAATCATGAAATAGAATAAAAAAATCAAAAAGCAGTGGGCAGGGATGAGAGGGAAAAATAAAGAAATTAAATAACAGCACACCATTTATGACCCAAACTGGGGTTACAAGAAATAAAACGATCATGATATCTGATCAAAGGAAAACAATATATAATAATAATAAAAAAATACTATTAGACTTTCAGCTCAGAGGTTGTCTTTACGTGGCGGTTTCAATACGGTGGCAGACACTACAGCGTAACGGTGAGGAACCATTGCTCCACCTCGCCAGTAAAAGAAGCTCTGCACTGTCTGGGATCACCCATTTATTTCTTTGTTCAATTTGGTGTCATCTTTGCCCTGAATAATAATAATAATAATAATAACAAAAATAATAATAATAAAAACAGTAATCATAATAAAAAACAACAATGGACAAAAAATAAAAGCTAATAATAATGATCACCATGGATAAAGACTTTTGGTAGACAAAACTCACACGCGGCTAACTGAAAGAAACACACACGGCACAGGGTGAGGGGAAACAGGACGATCTCTAACAAACACTTTCTGCTAATAATGACACAGCTCCTGCTCCACCACGGGTCCAAAGTGAAAAAAAATATATATTGCAAACATTTCTTTTTTTAAAAAGGCAAAAAAACCAACTAAAAATGTGTATTTTTCTAAATACACAATAATTCAACATTTTAAAAACAAACATACGTAAATATGCGTAAAAATTATAAATAAGGATAAAGTTTTGTGCATCCCCGCCCAAACCCACCGTTGTCGTAGAAAGAAAACAAAAACAATGGCAGTTACAACGGAGACAATAACATGCAATTGATATACTTTACAGCATTGATCTGTATCTCCCCCAAAACTACAAACCCCAGTCTAACCCTGCGTCCCTCCCCGACCCAAATACAATCCTTAAATATTTGTCAGCTCATTCAAAACACATCTCTCGCTCTCCCTCTACTCTTTAGCTGAAGGCGCCGTTTAAATCACACTGTGAGGGGGAGGGGCTCAAAAACAAAAAATCACTGTGGCTAACTCCAGTTTGTTCGTAAATCTGTGAATGAACAGGAGGATTTCTCCCCCCATGGGAGCAAGCTGACATGGTTTGAATGACTGCATAGTGAAAATGATATTTGGTTTACTTACAGATGGTTTCACAACAAACACACACACTGTTTTGATACACCTCTGGTAAACTAAAATACACATAAAGCCACTATTGGCAGGAGCCAGCATTGCTGTGGAGAATGGGATGACTTTATACATTTGATGTGTGTGTGTTACAGATGTTTCCTCACACACAGACACATGGACAGCCATTCTGAGCACACCTGCCTTGACTGGTTTCACAGAGGTGTTGTGATGGTGTTTGCATGGAAATGCACACAAACAGAACGGAAGAGTGAGTGTGTGTGTTTTAGCAAAATAAACATCAGCTTAATAACAAAGCACAGCAGGAGACTGGGTGCTGCTCCGTGTTCAGACACACGTACAGAGTTTAGGATATAGAGTTTTAGACAAGCTAGCAAGCTAGATAAGTTCCAGGTCTTAGAATATTAGCTCGCAAAGTATGTGCATCACGGGTTAACACAGGTTAACTTGTATTACGAAGTTGGCTCATGGTTAATCACCAGAATAACCAATACTACAGTCCTGCATCTGGTGGGGTATCTGCAAACATGTGTGTAACGGGAATAACATACATTTATGTTAATTCATAGGCACGTGTAAAAATTAACAAAATGTGGACAGACAACATGAAATATGTTGTTTTTCTAGAGATATGTCAAATTAAAATAATGGTGCAGGATGTTTAACAACTGGATCAGCTAATTTTATTAAGCATAATCAGCAGCCATATTGTGAAGGACTGCCTGCCCTGAAACTCTCAATCACCATCCTTGACAGTGGTATCGGGCAAAAAGGGTAAATTCTCCCTAATCTAACCAGAGTAAATATCAATCATTCTAGAGGGTTCGATTAAAACGCAGTAAGTGTGTTTAATCGCAATACCTATATTAACGGGTCAGGTCAGGGCTTAACCTGGAGATAATGCGGTTAACGGATCATTTTTACACTCTTCCAGCTGTAATTAAAGGGACACTGTGTTTTTCAATATATTTAGTTTTAGTTTACTCATCAGTAGTAGTATGTCTTCTCTGGAACTGGAGGGAGAATTTCTAAATTTAAAAAGTATCCCTGATGATCATCATGGATAATATAGAAACGCTATAATTGGCCAGGCTGATATTAGCTTATATAGATATAGACACTGTATGGATAGATCAGTTTTGGTGTTTCACCTAAATGCATGTTCATCATTTAGATTTAAAGTGAGCATCAGATGAGATGGGCCTCTGTTTTAAATAAGTGCACCAGTCTCCCCCTGTACAGCATAACACACACACACTCAGCACTACTACAGTACAGCGCCCCGCCCCCCCCTCTCCCACTAGCTATAGAGAGATTTCATATATATATCATAGCAGAGAGTAATCAATTATAAGGTCAATAACAATAGTCATAACAATTACACGCTTTTGTATTTACGTTGAGTTTTGACACCTTTGGTGTGAACTGTCATGTTGTCAAGCCTGCAGGCGACCTGTGGACAGATGGAGGGACGGGGGGACAGGACACAAAGCATCTGGACAGACAGACCTCCCCTCTAATGATAAACTGTACAGTTTAGTGTGACGTCAGGAAATAAAGGATTAACTACTTCCATTACACATAGAGCTACATTTGAGGTGATGTTAATATTTTGTGTTAGTTAGTACTTTTTATAAATCCAACCTCCCACACTTTCTCTTCTTCTCCCTCTCCCACTTGCTTTCTCTCTCTTCAGACTTTCTCTGTATTTGGTAACACGTGTTGACATTGCATTATTTTACTTATTTGGCTTCAAAAAAAGAATAAAGTATTTGTCCTTTGGGGAAAAGAAGTGACAGCAGCGTCTAAAGCAATAAAAAGTAGCAGCAGTAGCAATGTAAATAAATAACATTGTTTCAACGGTAAACATCATAAACACAACACGCTAACTCACTCGCTAAAATCATAATTGGTAGGTTGGTGTAACACCATGAAAGCTTTTTACAATAACCAGCTAGCCTGTTTCCCCTCATGTTTCCTCTCTCCTTATTCACACTTACTTCCTGTCCTCCACCTCCAGTTTGTCTCTGACTATTCCCAACTTCCAATCCAACTTCCTTAAATCTCCCCGTCTACTTCTCACCACACTCCATCGCCTCCTCTCGTTTTCCTGACGTTTAGCTCTCCCTCTCCTTTTCTGATATCTTGACATCATCTCTCTCTCTCCCTCCCTCATACTTCACTTTTCCTCTCTCTATCGTCGCCATTTCGCACTTCTCCGTGTCTAGCAGTGATTTGGTTTTCTGAGTCCGAGTCTGCATATCTAGCAGGTTTCGGCTGTTGCCCGTCAAAAGGACTCTAGTCAGTCAGTCTCTGAAGACCTGCACTCAAAATGTGTACATCTACACATCTCAGTTTCAAACACATGGACCTGTTCAGGTGAGCTGGACACAGTCAATTTTATCTTTACAATCTTCTAGTTCAGGGGTCTCAAAGTTCAGTTTCCCGTCTGGCAGGGACGCTTCTCCAAGCTTTCTGCATAAATGCTAACAGCACTGCAGCGCTGAACGCCTGCGTGCCATTGGTCTTAGCCTATGACAGGTTGTTAGGGACTACTTGATTAATCAATTAGTCGGTCGATGACAAACATATTCTAAAACCATTTAAATAATTAAAGAAACATTTCTGAAGGTTTTCTGGTTTCAGTATTGCCAGAATTCAAGATGAACTGCTTTTCTTTGTTTTAAAAGATAACAAGGATTTGGAAATAACTGTTTGACTGAATTATTAAAGTAAAGTAAAGCTTAGTGATTCAGAGATACTGAATAAATCCTTATTTGCAATCCTGGGAAAACAATCTTTAAAACTAAAAGACTATGAAGGCAAAAAGCAGCTATAAGACCAAACACCTATATTTAAGAATCAACTCTCAACATGTGGGCAGCTTGACTGGATCTGAGGCTTTGAGACCCCTGCTCTAGGTTCTAAAAACAGCACTAGCATGCTTCATAAAGATGTGTCTCTCTGGTTTCTGAAATGTTTGCAGGAGCAGGTCTAAATCTTTTGGCCTCCACCAACAACAACAACCTACATGCAGCCTTTGGTCTGGTCACCCTGTGGAGCACTACGTCACACTAAACAGCAGAGGCCGACAGAGAGGAAGAGGTAGACAAACTCAGAGTAAGAAAATGCTCCACAGGTTTTAACATCTACCTCTTTGTACAAGATAAGCTCCTAACCTCTCCCTCCTTTCTCTAACAGTTATTCAAACAACCAAGAGTACAACTCCCTCCTTCTTCCACTTTCTCTGCTTCTCTCTCCCACACTACTAGAAAGAATCCCTTTCTCACTCGTTGTTTCTCTTCTTAGCATCCCTCCATCTCTTTTAGTTTAGCTATGTTATTCTAAACACAAAACCAAACCAACTCCTTCTCTACAAAGCTAGAATGCAACACTAATTTTTTTGTAAGTATTTTTCATTGTGTTTTTCCCAATTGTGCAGCTTCTAAATACATGATACGGGTAACCTAAACATTACTCATATCAAAATGAATGAAAGTTACTATACTTAACATGTTAAAATGAAGCACCGCTAACAGATGAATTTATTATGGCGCGAGTGTAACAGCTGTAGTGTGAATGTGAATAAATGGCTAGTAGATATAATCTCACTTTTGAAAACAACCAGTGACTGTGTCTTGATATCCATCCATACACACACGCGCACACACAAACAGATTCAGCCTGAGAATGTGTGATAATAGAAACCTGAAGAATCATAATTGCACGGGACATTTATGTGTCCTCAGAAAGGTTTTTGCACAAGAAAGATTCATGTTTGCTAATGTAGCAGATGCTTTGTTCCAGTGTAGTGACTACTCTGTTCCAACGGCTTGGATCGATGCTGAAGACATGTAGGTGAGAAACTAAATGACACGTGGAGGACATGTAGGAACACAGTTTGTATGCAAGTGTGTGGCTATAACACACACTATGCTGTGACGTAATGATAGTGTGACGAGACAGTGTGTAAACAAATGAAGCTAACTACAGTGTGCACATCGTTTTCTCTTCCCCCCCCCCCCCTTCCCATGTCTGCCTGTCCAGATTCAACACACTGAGAAACAGAACACCTGTGTCATCTGTCCGTCCATCCCTCCATCGAGGCTCCGCCCCCCCTCTGTGGGCTCTTCAGGGTCTCTGGTGGACAAATGGACAGGCTGGGTCTAACGCTAGGCTTAGCTGCTAACGCTGGGCTAGACTAGGGCAGACTGAGCCGGGCTGGGCTAGGCTACCTACTGAAGAGCGAGTGGAGCTGGTGCTGGTGGCTGTAACACTGGCTGCTGCGGGGCGACTCGGTGCGGTCCATCACCGCCTGGAACCAGCCGGCCACGTCCACGTCCACCACCTCGTAACGCCGGATGAAACTATGCTCCTGGATGAGGAACACGAGGAGATACAGAGGGGGGGGGGGAGGAGGGGGTTTAGTCACATTGAACCATTTTGTCATTTGGGTGAATCTCAGCAAAATGTTTGTTGCTCATTATGACGAGTCTCTTACCAGCAGCGTGTGGTATTTTGGCCTTTTTCTGTGATCCTTTGTGAGGCTGTGGAAAGACACACAAATAAAGTGAAGCTTCAATAAGAGGTTTTAAATACACATGACATATTTGGAAGGAAAGGCAAGTGTCTTTACAGAACCTGTTCAAGGCAGGACTGTTTTGTTGTCGTTTAGATTCAAGATTCAAAGGTTTTGATGTCATATGCACATAAGCTAGTGTAGAAACGGCAATGAAAAACGTATGACCCGAGCTCCTCCAACAATGCCACATAGTTATATAATAAAATACAAAAAGAAAAGATAGTGCATAAAGTCTTTTATACACATAAATAGAATATGATATATACAAGAACAGAATGTCAAATGCAATATTGTTTATTACAGTGAACAGAGGACAAGATCAAATAATCTATAAGCACCTTCTCCAGTTCTGGATGTAATTATGTGTTCAGTTATAAAACCACCACCTGATGACCTGAGAGTTCAAATGAGTTAAAGAGTGGGATCTGTACTCACCAGTCTTTGACGAAGGACTGGAAGTCGAGGGAGAAGCCCATGCCGAGGGGCAGCAGAGGAGGGTCTTCCTGCAGCACTTTGGTCAGAACCTCAAAGTCTGTCTTACAGTTCTTGTAGGGAAACTGTCCCGTGGCCAGCTCCACCTACAGGACACACAGAGCCGTTAACATCCACAATGAAGCAGCAGCACCTATTCCTTTATGCCTATAATGAGTTCCACACAGGGATATCATTTATACCAAAACATAATAAAAGGTAACACTTGCCAACAAATAATAAGGTAGAGAAAGTAGTCATTCACAATGAATTGTTCAATATGCATGGTTTTTAGATGTGTTGCTTATTTCGTACATTGACATGCTTAAATGTTTTACAACATTTTTAAATACATGTCATTTGAATCCAATAAACTGGAGGAAAAAGTACCAGCTCCAATTTTAAGGGCAAGTACTTTTATTTTATTTTATTGTAATAAAATGAGAAAAGCTTTACCAGAGAGATGCCAAGGCTCCACACGTCTGCTCGGATGTCATAGTCAGGTTTGGTGGGATCTGGAGGGTCTATTCTCTCAGGCTGCAGGAACACCAGAACAGGTGTTATCATATTTCAGTTTTGTGATGGACAGGATGTGATAAACTTAATGTTAGAGACACTTGTTGTGTCTTAAGAGCAGTGTGTGTGAGTTTTGACTCACCGCCATGTAGGCAGCACAGCCGGCGCTGCGGGTCTTGGCTTTGGAGTCGACGAGGCGTCCGCTGATGCCGAAGTCACACAGTTTGATCTGACCTTTATCGTCCAGGAGGATGTTGGAGGGCTTCACGTCCCGGTGGATGACACCGTGTTTGTCTTTCAGGTACAGCAACGCCTTCACTATCTGGAGAAGAAACACACAGCACAACACATTAGAACAGAACAGGTGAGCAGTGTTGCACTTTCTCATCTGCAGTGTTCATACAGAGGTTACAAAATAAATCCAATCACGAGGCATCACGCTAACCCTTACCCTAACTCTAGTTTCAGACAGACAGACATAGCCAAACTCATACAAATCATCTAACTAAGCTAAGGGCTCAAAGGTACACAACGAGCAAGTGTCTTCATTAAGTAGCAAGTGCTATGTGAACAAACCCCTGCAACATCAATTAATAACAAATTAATAACATCAAACCTGCTCAAAATATAAGACAATGTTATGTCTTGAGGAGACTGTGAAGTCCACCATAGACGGACAACCTTTGGACAAAATGTCCTCTCCATTAAAGGCAGCTCTTTCTGGAATAGCCTCCCAACTGAGATACGGGATTGTCCCACTCTCAATAGTTTTAAAGGACAACTCAAAGAATGGTTGAGCAACAAACAGACGTGTAATCACCGCTAAATGCACTTTAACACAGGGGTATCTCCTCTCGCACTTTATGTAGCACTTGTATCTTCTCTTGCACTTTATATTTCGTAGCTGCTACATTGTACTGCCATGTGGTAAATGCTTGTATGCTGCTCATGCTCTTTTGCATATCATGGATTTATTTTTGCTATGTATATAAATGTCATGTTCTTATATGTTGTATGTGACGGGACTACGGATGGAAATTAGCTCAAAGCTAAATATCCGGCTAATTTACACTTGTAAGCATTATTTAGTTTGAAAGTGTTCATCAATGTGCATTGTCCCGGTTCAAATAAACGATTAAAATGAAAAATGTGGTTCTATGTTTTTCTGTATTGGAAAATACTTGAATAGTGAAATTAAAGTACATTGTGTGAATGTTTCATCTGCGTGGGAGTGTGTGGGAGTGTGTGTGTTTTTCCACTTACTGCTACCGTCATCTTCCCGAGGATGCGCTCCGGCATGGGGCCCTGGATTCTCTTCTTCAGCTTCTCAGCACACGTTCCCATCAGCTCCATGGCAATGAAGACATCCGTCTGTACACACACATCATTTAAACACATTTACCAAACACATTGACACATTCACCTTTTAGTGGTTCAGTTGAGGAGGGGGCACGGGGGTAAAAGGAGTCAGATTGCATGCAAATATAAAAATAAACCAGAGGCTCCAGTTTGTTTGGGGAGACTGCATTTAGCAGTGGAAGTGCTCCGATTCCTCCTGTCCTACTATTTGTTGTTAAGAATAAACACTGAAATGTATTTTGGGGACACCCACGTTGGTAACTATGGCGCCATAGCACTGGATGATGTAAGGGCAGTCGTGACTCTTCAGCACCACGTCCAGGTCCATCAGGATCCTCTTGTTCTCATCTTTGTTTCCTGTACGGCGCATTTGCTGGTGACACACACAGAAACAAGCCATTAGAAAATGACAAAACAAAGACCCCTCTGGTGAGCTGACTGCCTGGTTGTTAAACAGCTCAGTGGGCTATAATTAAGACGTCTCTTCATTAAGGAGGGCTGTTATGTGAGGGTATTAGTGCCACCGTGTTGGGAAATTAGCCACAATCAAAACACAACGGGAAGTCAGAGAGCTAAGCCGGGGTTAGCATCGCGCTCCTGCTGAATTTTATTCACGTTTACTGGTGTTTTAGAGTTCATCTTTAGGGACCTTTTTGGTTGCATTTTGAAAATAGGCCTTAAGCTAAGACATAACCAGTGCACTCATTACAATTTGTTTCCTCATATTGTCAATTTGACATCATTAGTAAAGCATAAATAACTAAAAATAACTATAAATTGCTCATGTAAAGAAGACGTATGGCATGTTTAATGACACTGGCTACCTGTCTAAATTAAAATTGTGCGAGGGGTGCTGTCATTTATTAGGAAATCCATCTTTCAATTTGTTTTGCACAGCTTAAATACAATAGTAACACCAGCAGCTTCCAAAGAATGCTAAGGATTAATTGTGTGAATGAAAAAAGTAGTTCTGTACAGAGTTTACACTGGTTGGAAGCTGTTACCAGCTCCCATCAAATTCACCTAATTAAAAAAGCTTCAAAATGGAAATCACATTTACATTAGGTAATATAAAGATATGTCCTATTTTGTGTGCCTCTCTGTATCTGTATTATTAAATAATTGTTCTCTTGTTAACATTTCCTGTCTAGATTTTGACACATATACATTTGTACATCGCAAATTGACAATCAATCTCAACAGCTGTAGGTAATGGGACCCTATAGCCATAACACTTTTGCCATGGGGAAATATTAAATCTTAACCTAGGAGATTTAATTTCACAGAAAAGTGGAGGGTTCAAATCATCTCTCTGTACGTTTGTTCTGTTTAAACAAATAAGAAGCAAGTCCTGATGAATGTGTCGTGTAAACAGAGTGCAGGGTCTTACTTTCACAGCGATGACATGGGCGGTCTTCTTGAATCGTACTTTGAAGACTTGTCCGCAGGTCCCACTGCCGATCTCCCCCTCACTGATCAGGTCTGTCACCTCTGCTGGATACCGCTGTGGACGGGCAAAGAAACAGAGAGAAATAAGTCTTTAGATTATGCTACATTTTGATTTACTGGTTCAAATGTAAATGTTGTCTCTTTGCAATATCCCCGAGCTGAAAACAGATGAGAGGCCAATTCAGATTTTCTGCTTCGTAAGGCAACAGCAAACTCCTCTGGGCAATTTAGTCACAAATGTTTTGATGTGTAATTAAGCTGCTCCCCCATTGGTCACGCCTAAGAATACCATGACACAGCGGGAAGATAAATATATTTCTAACTAATTATTTGTGACTGATTATTTGTGACTGAAATGAGTGACGATTGGTCAAGCAATTGACGAAGAAACCCCTCTGAGCTAATGAGAATAAGTAACAACAATCAGGAGTAAATCATGTTCTCGGGCATCTTCAAACCCTGACAGGCACTGACTGTGAAACGGGACTTGAAGGCTAGAAGAGGGAGGAAAACAAACATAAAGAATTGAGGCCGAGCCATAGCTAATCTCAATTTGATCTTGTTAGACATAAACAAATACCCATCCAAACTGTTTTCATAATAATCTGTTTATTGTAAAGGAGAAGCAAAATGCCAGGGGCTGTTGTTTCCCTTCATAGAGATTCTCTGCTCTCCTCAAAGACACTTCAGTAGTCTGGTATGGATGTTTGCTTTTATAGGGCTTTGACCTTGACCTGGTTTGTCTCTGAGGTCCATAGACATTAAAAACTGGTAACTGTAGTTTGTAGCAAATGTGACTCAAATCTAAAGTCAAATAGAAGTAACATTTGTTGGGGACTTTTTTCAGCTGTGGAATAATACACATTAACTGCTTTTGGGAGTTTTTACAGGAGCAGGTTGGACTACTACTGTATGCGGGACTGAGTCATAATAAATGTCCACAGTACACAGTAGAAGGAACATGTTACCCCGTGCAACAGTGTGGCACATTAATGTGTTTTTAATAGTTTTTGGAGAACAAAATAGGTCAAATAAAATACATCCAATGTACTAGCACGTCTAAGTTGTTTTTCTGGTGGAAGATTTGCTGGCCATAACCATGTATCACCTGCCTGATGATCTCTCACCCTGGTTTTCAGTTATGTATTTAACAACGTGTTGGGAATTCAAAATGTTCAGACTAGAGAAAGTCAATATGTGTCACATCTCACCGTGCCGTCGATCTTCAGGTAGCCCGTCTGTTTCATGATCTCCTGCAATTTCTGGTCTATCTCTGCACTGTGGAGACAAAAGACACCACGTGAGAGGGTGCAGAAGCTACAGTAAGTATGTTTCAGTGTAAAACTCCCACAGCAACCTAAGAGAGGCTTCTGACTCACAAATGGATGCTGTGTGTATTTCTGTACACACTTTAAACCCACACACACACAAGTGTAGATGTACATATGTAACACAACCTGCTTTTCTTTAGATGACCTTTTGTCCGGCTCACTTTCCACTTTTAATGTTGTTCATGTGACGATCTTGTTTGTATTATGTGAGATCACTGTAACTCTGTTTTGTCTCTTTATGTTTATATTTATAATTCCTCTGTACTAAATATTTCTTCATAATTATTTTCAACCAGATAGTTGTGACTTAACAGTAAGACTGGCTGAAGTCATTGCTAATAATAATTGTACTAATCACTTTCCCAGTTAAGTATTTTATTCAGAAAACAAAAATAAAATGTAAATGTAATCACATGTTAACCAACGTCTCACAACAGCAGTAAGTCTTTGAATTATATACCGTTTTATTCCTAGAAAAAAAAGGCATTTACCGATGCTGCATAAACAGTCATTTTAGACTAAAAACTTCAGTTTCTAGGTAGTAATTAATCAGATGAACATCATCACGTGTGCACATACTTCTCTAAGCTCTTCTGCAGGGCGTAGGGAGGGGTGGGCAGCGTGAGCATGTGTCGCGGGCGGCTGGGGTACGGGTGGTGCTGAGGGGAGCTCTCTGAAGACGAGGAGCGGCTGCCTCCATCGTTGGCCAATGGCAGCTGGAGCGCTGGGGGGGGGGGGGGGGGGACATGACACATTAGAAACAGACAGGAAAATGGAGCGAGTGGTACAGTGCGTTTTGCACCCGAGGCCAGCATGCCAGAAGGTGTAAACGACTTAGTTTATTCATGCGTTTACTGACTGCCTCATTTTAGTGGCATAAAGAGGTCTTGCCCAAATAGAGAAGGAGGTAATGTGTTATTATTGGTGTTTTATTTGCTTTGTTCAACACATTTCAGTGTTTAAATTTACTTTGCATTTCCATTTTGAAAATCTGGGCTTCAGGTTGTTTTTTGCACAATTGAAAGTGATTGAGAAATCCTTTGGAATGATCATATCCTGTGTAGTATCAAGTGAAAAAGGGTTCCCATGAGACAGCCAGGGAAACTGGCCTTTGCAGGGTCAAAGTGTTCTTTCACTACAGCCCTGCTATCTACACCCTGGGTAGGATTTAACCAGCATATGAACTTGACTTGTTTTCATTTCCCCGAGGTTACAGCTTTGTTTTTATTTCGCTGATGTCCCGACCTAATGTTAAAACAAACAGGACGGTTATCTCACAGCAAAAGCAACACCATTCTCAGGCAGGGGAGAGAGCACAGGGTTAGCCCACAGCTTGGGAGGTACAGTTTTGGGGATGTGGATGCCAACAGTTCACTTTTAAAGGAAAACTACGGTTTATTAATACTTGGGTTTTGTTCATCAGCTGCAGCCTTGGCTTACGTTATGCACTGTACACACGAAAAGGACTGCTGAGATCTCAGATGGCGGCAAAAATACAAAGAAAAGACCAATAAGGAAAACAGTACAGGGCTTCAGTTGTAATCAACCACATGGATTTGAAATCCAAAGTGAGCGCAACCGTAATATTTATAATTATCCATCACTGTACAAGAAAACTTGGTGTGTGTCAAACAATTTGTCAAAGTTAACCCAGCTAGTCAATCTGGGAAATGTGCTCGATGTTTACAACCTACAGTTTGGGTAATCATTTCAAATAGATGTATCTTTGGTGAGCATAACGTTATCATAACTAACAGAACTGACAGCCTAAGTAATGAAAATACAACCCAGATTGTAATAAACTGCAGTTTGACTTAACATCAACATTGACTGATTCCACTAAACTATTTGATAAACAAGACGCCATATTGACTAGCTGTTGCAACATGCTTCCAGCCCTGTAGGTCTAACTCGTTCATTCAAGGACAAGTTAAGACTCAGCTGACCTTGTATATCAGGTGTACGTGCAAGCACGGACTCATTTCCAAATTGTGATGTCAAAGAATTTCAGGAATACAATCTAAAGTGATGATAGCACAGACCTGTCATGCAACCAAATTAAAAGACTACTGTATGTGTGCGTTCCATAACCCATAGTAGCATACTTTTTAGTATCCTTGAAAAAGTGAAGTCCCAATACATAGTATGTTAAATCCAAGAAGCAAAAAATACCAGGAAGCCATATTGCATCATTTTGCAGTACGGAATCTGGCATGCTTTTCTGTCTATTCTGACTCGCAATCCTTTGTGAAGGGGATATATTAGAAGGACAATGTTATGAAGAAATGTCCAAACTGTCAACATACTAATTGCGACAGTACATGCTCTGTCAGGGAAGCTGTGAAATATTTCGAAAGTAAAAAAGAAAAGTATGCCATTTAGAAAACAGCGTCTGACTATGTATTTAAGGAGTGGGATTAAGAAGTTTAGTTTTCATTCATTATCATCAATTTCACAACAGCAACTTTTTAAACATTTGGAACCCATTTGCAAACCCTAAGAGGACCATGCAGCTATTATTAATATTAATATGATTAACAGTATGTTTGTAGTAGAAGGCTGGCATCTCTTCTGAGAAAACCAGCAGGTGTTTTATATCCATGAGTCACCTGTGGAGGGATGCGCCTGTAAGGGGAGAATCAGTTAGTGAAGGAGAGGAGGGGTTAGTATGGGGAGGAAGAAGGACCCAGGCAGTCTTTGGCACAGATTGCATCTCCATAGTTCGGCTGGCTCCAGATGAACGGATGTGAGGACAGACGGGCAGACAGACAAGGAGACGAACAAACACACAAATACTCGCAGGCACTGCTGCACCGCCTCCAGCTCACACAGTGCTGCTGCAAAAAGGGAGGAGGCGCAAGGGGGGATGCCAGAGGATGAATAAGAGACAAACAACATCAAACAGAGAGAGAGAGGAGAACTTCGGCCAAAACTGCATAGCACAGACTAAGCTGGAAGTCAGACAGTCAGTCAGTCAGACTCCGACAGGAAGTCTTCAGGCTCCACACACAGAACACACAGAGAGAGAGAGAGAGAGAGAGAGAGAGCAGTGTTCACTCCTGCAGACGGACCAGTGGGGATGCTGGATTAGAGACTGTGTCGGACGAAACACAACCCAAAACATTGTGTCGTGCAGAAAAGCTACATGCACCATGATCTCTGCCTCCAGCAAAACAAGGGTTAATTATCTGATGCACGTCCACACGTCCACACACTGTGGACATCAACACACACCAACACTGCCCTGCCACTGGCACAGACTCACGTGAGAGAGAGGAGTCAGAATGGAAAGATAGAGAGGACGTGATTAGAGGGGAGGTGTAAATAACTGCTCGGCTAAAATATCAGAACTGGTTTCACAGACATAGATTTAGCTTCAACCCGTTAGCAGAAGGTCTTATTGAAACGTCAGACACTGTTGTCAATGTATTTTCTAACATTCAAGAAATGTAAAACCAGTCAAATGTTTAAACTTATCAGGCAGATGTACTTATGGGCCTTTGTGATCCACGTATTTAATTTATCGTTGTTGTACTTCTACACACATTTGAGATGTACATCTAGATTAGCTAGAGAGAGTTAATTGACTATTATAGTAATTTGTTCAGGCATTTCTCACAGTCTTTAAGACAGTGTAAAGAAGACACATGAGTAATTGCAGTAAGTGAAGAGCAGTATTGAGAGCCTATTAATGGCAGGAGTTAAAATATGGAGCTAAACTTAACTGGGCAAAATGTAAGGAGCTGGATGGCCTGTGTTCTTCTCTGATAGGTTAACAAAATAAGAAAGATAAGGGAGGAGGGGATGGGAGGTGAAACGGGGGACAGAGGTGTTGGGGGAGAGAGAGAGAGAGAGAGGTGCAGTGGCAGAGAGAGCGATGGATTGAATGATACCTGCACGCTGGGAAGGGGCTGGAGCAGGACTGAGCTGGATCACGATGACTAGACAGAGGAAAGAAAATATACACACACACGCAAATTACTGCACTGTACGACTAACACGATCAGACACACACATACACACACAAGCATACACACACACACACACATCTCTCGAAAAATTATACAAATACACGGAAAAATACATTCTGACTTGTATGAGTTCCGTGTTCTCTTCACACGAACACATCTGACTTTTTTTTCCCCCGAAAATGTTTTTATGTGGTTTGGTCATATAATGGCTGTTATCCGATTAACTAAATCAGACGGTATTGAGGCATTACTCCTTTTTGGCATAGGAGAATAATTATATGGCTTGGATTAAAAGGCAACACTTCTTCTTTTTGAGAAGTTTCAAAAATTGAAAGCTAAAGTAACCTCTAAAAAACACATTTCAAACAAAAGGCACAAAAGCTGATTTGTGGCCAATGTCTCTTCAACCTCATGAATAGACAAGTGATCTGTAGGAAAGAATGATCTTTAAAACAGTCAGCGAGCGAACAGGGTTTCTGATATCGGTGACAAGCTGTTTCTAAAGTCCAATATGTTGCCACAGAGTTTGTTTTGGTGTAACATGTCAGTGCAGGCATGATGTTGCAGCACTGAACGAGCCGGGCTGTCTAAAGAGATTTTCATTGTTTTTTTTAAAGCTCTCTCTAAGACAAAGACCCACAGTGAGCCTTCTTTCTATTATTACAGATCATGATTGTGGAACAGCCTCCCAGAATACCTGACTGTCATACTTTTAAGAGCAAAGTCAAGACCCACCTTTTTAATTTGGTTTTTAACAGAATTGTATTTTATTATTATTCAATTTAAATTGTATTATTTTTTAATATTTGATTCCTGTTTGATTCAGTCCTGCGTTGGTATTAAGTGTTCTTTTTTAATCACAAAGCTGCTACTCTGGATATACCTGAGAAGGGGGAGATAGTATTGTTACAATTTTTTCTAAATTGGCTATGCTTTTGGTTTGTGAAGCACTTTGAGTTACATTTGTGTATGAGAAATGCTAAATAAATAAAGTTTGATTTGATTTGATGATTTTCTTCTCAGGGCCCAACATTACAGTTTCACCATATCTTACAAAACTCATATGTACTGACAACTGTAAAGGGTTTTATGACAATAAGTCTGTAGCAGACTAAAATTCAACCACCATATGTAAGAAGTAGTTTATAAAGCATAAAGACATAACCAACGCCTGGTAACGTCTGTAGAACGTTAGCTAACAGAACTGATAGCTCCCACACATTAGCGTCTGTTTCGTCAAGGGTCAAAACTGCCACTGAAAACTGACTTTGCCGCAGGAGACACAAGCAAACACGCTTCTTAATAATAATAATAATAATAATAATAACGTGAAACTTCAGATACACTACAGATAAATGGCATCTCCATTATATTTCACAACGAGGGTGAACACTACATCAGATTTGACGATGGGCCCTGCCACCGACTATCACTCATATTGCTAGCTTGTTAGCCTAGCTTGTTTGACAGGACAGTCAGAGCAGATTTCGGGACGTGACTGCCAGCGAGACATTTGATGACACCGCTTTATTTGTGATTTTATTTTGCCTCACTCACTATAGAAATTGTCCTACTTGTTAAGTAAGTGATTCGATGGTAAAATCAAACAACTGAGCTGAGTCGGTGTTTGTTTATGTAGCTAGCCTGTTAGCATGTAGCAGCATAACACCCCCTCCTCCCTCCGCCTCTCCGATCTTTCCCCCTGCTATTCTGCCCGTTACCGACACCCCGGTGCTCCCCGGTGGATACTCACTCGGCCTCGGACGTGATCTCTGCGGACTCATCTCGATGTTAAGGTCGATTCTCCTGCGAGCTTCTTCATTTTCTTGCTTTAGTTTCTCCTCGATTCGCGACAGCCTCTTTTCCAGCGACGACATCTTGAAAAATTGAGCACCATGTAGTTCCCAGCAGCGCTCTCGACTCCCTCTCCGGCAGGCAGGCAGACTGGACATACACATACACACGCACGCGCACGCACACGCACACGCACACACACACACACGCACACACGCACACGCACACTAAACTCTCTGATCAAATGAATAGTCATTTACCAATTTATTTCGTACGGATATGATTATTGAGGAGGAATATCATGTACTTACTTATTGAACTACATCACATGGTACTCAAACATAAGATTGAGTTTGCTTAGTTACCAAGGAACTGTAAACTATTAAACATACAATTATTTTCTCAATAATGTCAACCTTATTGTTGAGCTTTATAAAAGTAAATTATTGACCTTAGGCTGCAGGTGTCAGACATGCATACAAATCATAACCTGGAACATGAATTGACATTTTATAAACAAAAATATTTTTGCCATTACAACCCAAGCTCCAACCGAAAACATGTGATAAAGGCCGTCCGGTAGCCGAGAGTATGTCTGCTGTCACATAAGGGAATAATCATTTAGTAAAATATTTCTCTGATGTATGTGTTTTGCTATTAAATAGCCAAGAGTGATCTCTTACATTTGATTACTAAAGCAAGGTTGTCCAACTGTGAGGTCAACTTTTGTTTGAATTAGGGCTATATTGTTGAAATCAGTATACTATTACATTTGTATAACGGTCATGTTTTACATGATTAAAGAGATTGGTGGACTATTGATCAGAAAACTAATCATCATAATAACTAATAAGCACACGCTTCTATTATCCAATGTAAGGATTTGCTGATTGAGCCATTTTATTTAGTTTTAAATCAATTACTTTTGGACCTTAGATTTTCACTTGACAAAACAAGCAATTCAAAGAGACACTAACATTGGATCTGGTTTATGTGTTCTCAAGTTTTGATAAACTATGTTACATTTTTAAAGACTCGACAGTTATCATTTAATCTAACAAATAATCAAAAGATGAATTTATGGTCAAAGTTATACAAATTTACATTTTGGAAAAAGGATGACAGGATATGCACATATTACGACTCAATACCCCTGAATGATATTGATTTAGCAAAAAACACAAAACAATTTAGAACATCACCCCTCAGTTTAAAATGCTGCTGCTAAATGGATGTTTAGTCCCAAATAAAAACTACTGATACTGCTATGTTTTTGTATTTTCTCTTCTGTTTTACTTGCCTCTCAAGTGTCCTTAGATACTGTACACTAAAAACAACACAGACAGATTATTCACTCCAAGTTTTCTTTATAAAATAAGTCATCTCGTACTCTCACATGGTTTTTGTTTTGACACAACACAAGATAAGTAAAATCCACACATCATACATACAGCTTCACAACAAACCTCGCCTCTACTCAGAAATGTTTTTACCACTGGCTCATATTTTCAACATATATCATTGTGTTTTAAATGATAGTTTCTTTAGAAATGTATTGCCAAGATACCTTGTTCGCTGGGATGTGATGTGGCCGACAATATTTATTTTGATTGCGTCACCACCCAGATTTCCCAGATATTCACCAAGATATTCATTGGTTTTATCTGAAACAAAGATAACTTAATCTGCAATAACCACCACGGGTAGCTGTATTGTTGGAATCCGTTCTCTAAAACAGACACTAAAACAAATGCTAGAGCCAGAGTTTGTTGAGTTTAAAGTCACATATAAATGCCTTGAGGGGAAATTACTTACTTCATGTACACAAAACTCTGGTAGCATGTAGATAACTGGAGCAATGCGTCTTAAACTCAGAATGAACAAACACAATAATGTTACATTGTGCATCAAGTTTTAGTGTTCAGTTTTTTTTTGAAAAAAAAAAGTGAAATACAGTGACCTGTTTGCTACATAGCATTTAATGCTGATGGTTGTGATATGATATACAATTTCCAATTAAAAAGTATGTGGTTGGTACTGAATAATGGATGAGGAGTCAACGGTCATAAAATATGATTACTTAAAAATTGCAATTGTAACATTTGTGGCATTCATTAAAATCCACTTTTAAAAATCAAATTTTTAAAAGTGGTTGGTAGAATTCCAAGGAATTAAGAAGTGATTCTTTACCCCGTAGTTATATTTCATAGTTCGCCCAGCATTGGTCAGCATGACTGAGGGTCATCATCACACCACTGCTGGGGAAGCTTCAAATACAAATTCACTCTGAACGAGACGTCACAATTCCCACTCTCACAAGCAGGTCCTCTCGGTTTCTCACTCTTCCTGCTGCTGTTTACAACCATAAAATAAAAACATGATGCTTTTCTGTGGATCAAATACAAATGTAAGGCATTGGTATGAGAGGCCATTAAAAAGTCAGCAGCTCCTCCTCACAGCTGCACGGGTGAATACAGCGACACATAAGAGGATTGGAGGAGGTAATTTAAAAGGCTAATGTTTGTAAAGATACACAAGTCACTGATGTGATGTACGAGGGTTGGGGCCTTCGTTTGTACAACCCCACCAGCTGTCCGTCCTGGCTTTTATTTTCTCAGCTTTCTATCTTTATAACTTGTAGACACACAAAACACAGACCGACTGGCTCCGGTCTCTCCGCATTCATTCACAGTGTAATTAACGGCAGACAAACAATCAGCGGACAGTCAGTTGGGACCGGTGGTCCGCTCAGATAAAACCGTCGTGAAGCCTTTAAAGTCAAACATTCCTCTTCGTCTTCAAGGCCCACTAGCAGAGGTCGGAGACGTAGTCAAAGTCCCGGAAGCTCTCCTGGTCTTTGCGGGAGAGCACACGAGGTTCGCGTGGTGGCGTGAGTGCCGGAGGTTCGGTGGTGAACTCCTCGTCGAAGTTGCTGACGTCTTCCTTCCCGACAATGGAGGGGACGAAGGGGGGGGGAGCCTTCCTCTGCAGCAACATCTCCCAGTCCACATTCTGGAGGCGGACAGAGAAAAAAAAAGACAATAAATAATTAGAAAAGGTGAATATAAAAAAAAAAGAAGAAGAAAGAAAATGGGCACTTACTCTGAAGAATGGCTGCTTCTTAATTTCCTCTGCATCCTTTTCACCAGAGCCCAGTCTTCTCTCCGGGTTCCTCCTCAACAGCTGATCACGAAAACACATACAAGAATCACAAATGGCTCATGACAAGAAAGAGTATCTTTCAGTATTTATGTGCGTGTGGTTTGTGTGTATTCTTACCCTTCTCATAATGCCGATAGCCTCGGTGGACAGAAAGCGTGGATAGCGGACTTCGTCATTCACTATGCTGTCAAACACCTCCTCTTCATCATCCCCTGGGAATGGAGACTATAGAAACACACACAGATGACAATTGGTAAATAAAATCCATTCTACAGATTTCACAAATCAAGCGCCGCTGCTGAATGTATGCGCGCCGCTGCTACGGGGCGCCAGCCGGGTACCAAAATAATTAAATAATTTTAATACATTAAAATAATAATCCGTGGCCACACAGCCTCTGTGAGCGAGCGAGACAGAGAGAGAGCGAGAGAGCTAGAGAGAGCACACCTTTAACTATTTAATATAATTGTAAAAAATAAAGTAAGAAATCATTCCAATGCGTACTATAGGACAGTAAAAAAAAACAGTTTAAAAGGGGAGTGATTAGTAATATGCATAAAGAAAAAGAAAGAATACTAACTAGGTAACATAAGATAAGAATAAACAAGTTTAAATGATTTGTTATTGGTTGTGATCATATTCTAAAGATGTTTGGATTATTGAAAAGTATACAGCTCTCTTTCATATGAGTGTTGAGAGCTGTATCCATCAATTCATTTTGTGCTCAAAGTGCACCAGATTGATGCATTTCATTTCAACATTTAAAAAATAATGGCAGACACATAGAAACATATTGGCGGGGCGCACTTCGCACGCGCACACACTAAAAGATTCCACGCGCTCCGCGCTCACATTTAGCTGGGCCCGCGTGCCTTAGCACTGCTGCTATGACTCCATCCTAGGGGAAACACTGTTAGTAATTTTAAAGATCCAGTTATCTTTGTAAAAGGTGAGAAGCAATATAAATAGCACATCTAAGACTGAAGTTATTCAGCGCACTTGCAATATGATTAGTTATTTTTAATTAAAGATTTTAGGGACACCTTTTTATATACATTTACCAATATGAAATCTATATACTCTTGGCTATGATATTGGATGGATAGTAAACTAACAAATATGTAATGCGTGTTCACGCAAAGCTTATTTCAGCTATCCTCCCATACACCGTGTAAAGTATATATCTGTATATGCTTAGTTCTCACCTCTCCCACCAACATTTCATAGATGAGGACCCCCAGTCCCCACCAGTCTACCGCTCTGGTGTAGGATGTATCCGTCAGGACCTCGGGGGCTAAAAACTCTGGAGTCCCACAGAACGTGCTGGTCCGGTCCCCGAAGCCCATTCCTACAGACAGAGACAGATTTTTAGAGGAATTTTGCAGATGTCTAAAAATAAACGCCCATCTGTCAGCAACATCAGTATCCACCTTCTTTACACAGCCCAAAGTCAGCGATCTTCACATAACCATCTGTGTCGAGCAGCAGGTTGTCGAGCTTGAGGTCTCTGGAAGAGAGGGAAGATAGAAATGTGTAGCTGAGAATCTGTACACAATGTTAACGAGTACAGCTGAGAGGACACAAGGAGTTTAAAGAGATACAACCGAGACCAAACATTTACAGTACTAATTTATATGTGAGACTTTGCTGAGGCCCGGCTGATATCCAGCAATGTTTACAATAAGAGCTTCTCAAGTTGACTTAACAAATATGAGAAGTCCTGTCACAATGACTTTGGACTTTCTGTTGGACACATTGTCCCAGAATTAATTTATACAAATGTTACTATTGCTATTTTAAGACCATATAATGCAACTGTTATAATGATAGTGTATTAGTATAATAATGCAAGTACAGTCATTGGAATTCTAATTGGAACATTTAATTGTACTCAATAAATACAAATAAAACCATTCCCAAAAGCCGTAAATAAAAATGCACTTAAAGGTTTGTTATATAAAATGCTCAATGTCTGCAC